TAAACTTTAGGCTACTGTTAGTTTAATGACGTTCATCCATTGCATGTAATGTACTTAGCGCTTTACGATAAATAAAAATTCTTGATTCTTTCATATTTTGAGTTGTTTTTGTCTCTGGATCACAGAACAAACTATAAAAGGTATAAAATTACCTGAGTACTAACTGCCAGAGTGATCCTGTTGGTCCTGATCCGTAAGGACCAACAGGATCACTCTGGCAGTACTCAGGTAATTTTATACCTTTTATAGCTTGATTCTTTGAACAGTTGGTGGTAAATTCCTGTTCGCTTTTTAATTTTTGTATAAAAGCATTGTCTCATTCTATTATAAGCTGGGCATTCTGTAATTATGTGTTCTATTGTTTCATGATGTCCTAGTTCGCACCTGGTGCAGTATGCAGATTCCCTCTTTTTCATTTTGAATAGTCTCGTTAGCATTGTATAGGTGGCCAAATCTTAATTTACATATTGATGATGTGTCAGCACGACTTAGTCTGTAGTTAAAAAACCATGGCTTTTGTGGTGTTTTGGTTTGAATAATTTTGTACCATCGTCCTTTACTACTTTTGTCAAATTCTGTAGATGATTTTAACTTGTATTTATGTTTATTATAAACCTTACAACACTCCCACTCAAAATGTTTGTTATTTTTGTAACACTAGCTATTTTTTGTAGAGCAATGAGTTATCTTCAGGGAGAGGATCTTTGCCAGCCGATTTAATGAGTGGTGTTGGTTCTTATCAAAGCTTATTATATATGTATTGTATTCTCTTTATTTTATATCTAGAGAGATGAGGGCGTGTCCCTACAATAATAAGTCAAGAGTTATGGTGCAACAACTAAATATTTATTCAACAAATTTATTAAATATAAAATTCAGTCTTATTCAGTAATTATCACAGTGACCTTTCTCACTAACAATTCACAAATATTAACAATTCACAAATATTTAACTTAAAACTGAAAAAATCTACTTTAAATTATATCACAAAATATTAATGACTCAACAATTCCCTAACTCGCAATAATGTAATCTCTGAGTAAGAAATTAAATTTTGCTAATTAAGAAAACCCTAATCTGTAGTTTAGTTTGCCAACTTTCAGCTCTTACCAACTCCAGCACAAAGCCGAGTTAACAAGAGAGAAGTCGCTTTTTTTTTTAATACTGCCCCGCCAAAGTTAGCCTCTCAAAAGTACTTCTAACTTGTTTTCAATTTAATTTGCTAATGCCAACTCGCAGCTGCTTAGTAATTGATTCAATACTTTTGTCAATTACGATTGTGTTAGTGTACAGTATACTATCAGAATGTCAAACTATTTACAAGAAGGCAATAATATACTATGATCGATTCAACAGTCGGTACATATTTCAATGCATGCGATTTCTTACAATCAAAATTTACAACTGAGTTGAACCTTTGACTATTAATACAACACGAACACAACAACAATAGTCAATGGTTGAACGCAGCTGATTTTTACTCTTTAGGGGTCAAAACCGTTTTTACTCCCAAAGGATGAAAAGAGCTGCAACCCATGAATTAAAAATGGCTATTTTTACTGCAGTATGACAAAAAAACATTTATTCCTTCAATAGACAGAGAAATGTTAAAAGTGGCCAACAAGTTTAGGGAAATTTGTTTACTTCATCTGCAACCCTCTCTATTCTTGCCACAGAAGAATAAGAATAGAAGAATAAGAATAAGAATAAGAAAGTTTATTGCCATTTGCCATTGACCAAGTTGTACATAGGAATAGGCATTGTCAAATTACATTAAACAAAATATCACCAAGTATGCCATATCTATAGGTAACAAAGATTGAGAATTCTTAATTTACAGTATGAATGATTCCATTTTAATGTTATATTTCATGAAGTTCTTAACTAAGTAGAACGGATTTGCTACAAGCCAGTTATGAATTTTGGATTTAAAAAGAGGAAGAGAAAGGCTGTCTGCCTGAGGCCCAGGCAGCTTATTATAAAACTCTTTAAAATGGACCATTTTAATGCATTCTGTAAAGCCAATAATGCTTATTACGTATTTAGACACATGATCACTGGTCTAAAATCTTTCCCAAGAAAAAAACCGTTTCAGTACCTGCTTGCTGCCGATTAAGTCTGGTTAAACCAATATGCTGATAAAAAGTGTCCAGGTAAAGAGATGTGATTTGCCGCCGAGTGTATAGTCCGGTTAAAAGGTGTCCGGATAAGAGGGGGTCTACTGTAATTGCCCTGCACACCCATCACTAAATAAATATGCAATATGGAAAATGATAAGGAAACACAATGATATAATTGAATATATGTCTATTATAATAAGTAATGGATAACAAGAATTTTCTGCACTGCTCTTATAAGGACTTTTTCAGTATGAACCTGGGCCTGGAAATAGTCTGTGTATTATAGCTACATTTTCTTCTTTTTGGGAAATTTTAACTTTTTAAAGATAAGAAATCAAATTCAGCTCGAAACACTTTTTGCCATATCTTCACGTAAATCAAACTTTAGGAAGAACTACTATGTTCAGTGTTCATTCATAAGTGGTCTTGTCAACTCAGTCTTTAAACAAAGGACAATGCAATAAGGCATAATTAATTAATGTATTATTTCCTAATTTTGTTGAGCTAAGTATGAATTTTCTATGGACGAAACAGTATCACAGTACGTTTAGTTCAAGTACCTTAAATGATATTAAACACTGAAGCAGTTAATATCTTTTAATTTCCACAATACCTATTTTAGAATACCTAACTTAAATTAATAAATCAATTTGATTATGTTACAAAAGTTATCAAGATTGCAGGTTTATCCCAAGTCAAGATTCACAACATAAACTCTCTCCTTTGTTTAATAAAATTGTTTTACTAAATACTATTTTATAGATCTATACACATTTGTTTGATCATCTGTAAAGCCCAGAAGGAAACCCCTTCCCCCCCCCCAAGGCCCCACTAAAAAAAAACAGGCCATGCTGCAGCGCGGGCAGCCCAACACTACGTCACAGTGGTGGATAGTTGTACTAAACTCATACCATTACAATCTTACAAACAGCCAGCTTGTTTATTTACCAAAAACATATGGGAATGGTGATGGCAATGAATTTATCAATGAAATCTATCCACTAGTGTGACGTCATGGATCCTGCAGCATGGCCTGCTTTTTCTAGTGGGGCCTTGCCCCCCCCCCACAATGTATGTTAGGCGAGCTATTTAATAACGAGTGGATCGTCCAACATGCTGGACGGATTTTCTCGGTTGGAAAATATGTACTGTATTGACATTGTTTTTTCATTGTTTACCTAAACTTATTAAAAGGGAGTATTTCATTTGGTCCAACAGTTGTAAAACAGTTCGTTGGTCCAAAATCGTTTGGTCCACCAGTTGTAAAATAGTTCGTTTGGGTTTGGTCCAAAATCGTTTTATCCAAAAGTACAGGCAAAACCAGAAGTACAAATATGCATTATGGAGTAAACTTATGAAATAGACTGTACGTTTCACGGTGGACCATTCGATTGGGTCGTTTTATCCAACACACTAATACGAGTTTGTTTGCTCCAACAGTATGAACTATTGCGTCCCTCACATTGAAGGCGTTCAAATAATCGCCGTCACGTCGTCAACCCAACGCCCAATAAAATAGGCCTTCTGAGGTCTATTTGTTGTTTCGTGTTATGTTTCTAAATAATTGATATTTTTGCATTTATATACTCGTACACATATATTTATTTATATATAATGTGCTTGTGTCCTGTTTACTTTTTATCACCAGTCAATCTTAAAACAACGCGTTTTAATTCCCTTGATTTGTGGATAGACATTAACTTTGCTTTGAGTTTGTATTTAATGTTGAACAGATGGTTTATTTAATTTATCTATTATTAAATTCAATCTATGTTTGTCGTGTGTTTGTCATGGTATTTGTAACAATCATGTAGTTAATAATACAAATATATAAAGTGAATTTCTCAGTGAAGATAATTTATATTTGTAAAACTTCCTAAAATGTTATGTTTACTCCCCATGAGAACCGAGAATAAATTATTGAAAAGAAAAGAGTTTGTATTTGTTGTGGCTTATTGTCAATGGTATTAACTTAACCATTAACTCTATATATATATTAGAGGAGGTATGTATTTACTTATGTATGTATGTACCAATATTGTTATCCATTGTTCTATACCCACACAATGTAACATAAATCCTGAAAAATAATTGTGCGTGCTATCTTAGATATACAAATGCCTCACAATTTGTCGTAAACCGACCACATTACTGTCACTAAAAGAAGGAATGCCAATAATACTAATGTGAAACTTAGGTCCACCCAAACCGTGCAATGGAACCAGAACCAGACTGACTATAAAAAACATCGAAGGAACAATCATTAGTGATAAGTTTGAAGTAGAAATAGTCCCAAGAATACCATGTTTAAAGCAAAAATTGTATTAATATTATTATTGTATACGACGGTGGATATTTGAACGCCTTCAATGTGAGGGACGCAATAGTTTATACTGTTGGACCAAACGAACTCGTATTAAAGTGTTGGATAAAACGACCCGTTCAAATGGTCCACAGTGAAACGTACAGTATATTTCATAAGTTTACCCCACAATACAAAATTGTACTTCTAGTTTGGCCTGTACTTTTGGATAAAATGATTTTGGACCAAACAAACGGTTTTACAAGTGGTGGATGAAACGATTTTGGACCAAAGGAACGAGTTTTTAACTGTTGGACCAAACAAACGGCAATATAAAAGTTGGACCAAACGATTTTGGACCATTTGAAGATGATCCTATTAAAATACCACAAAACACAACAGCTGATTCAAAATCCATTTTACAACTGACAAAGTACCAAATTGCTTCGCCTCCCAACTCCAACCTGACTTCCAACCCAACATGCTCAACGTGCTGTGGGGGACTTTAGAGTGATGAGCTTTACCAATCTGTAACTACCAGTCAAGATACTGAGTGTGGACAATTTAATACACAAAAATAATAAAATACATTTATTGATATTTACATAAAATGGAAAAATTAAAACGTTAAACATTAACGTAAAGATAAAGACAATAGACACTTAGATAATAAATAACCCTGGTAAGTATCCTGACATTACATAAAGGGTTTCAGTTGCCATATGTACACAAAAAACTATAGAATACAACTAAATAAATACACAGTCAAAGATACAAATAATAGGTGTATAAAAACATGAAATTAACTAACTTACAATGAAGATTTGTACTTATAAAATGTATTACCTTATATAATTATTTCAAATCTTAGAGTATTTATATGCCCTGGAATGCAATTGCTGTTTATCCTGCACCATCAAAATTGTAAAAATGATTGTGTCAACTTATTCAATCAACATAAGAAGAGAGTTGTCATGAGTTTTAACTCTTTTAAAATAGGCTAATTAAAATCCTCTCTGTGGTATCTACAACATTAACATTCATGGCATTGTAATTGTTTGAACAAATCATCCTCGTAACATATTTTAGACAACTCTCTGGTGTGCATGCCTGTGAAGAAGTTTGCAAGCAAAGATAACGAAATAGAAAGAGCAATGTGAATTTTTGCAAAAGTTTTCAACTTTTTTGGCCAAACTATCCTCTCATTACTGTAGGAAAACAACCACTCGCCTCTACCTGGAGCCTGTATTCACCTCAATGGCTCAGTTGTACAACATTTACATAGAGAGGAGAGATGCTATAAGGCTGACACAGTTTAAAAAGGAAATACTTAATAATTAACTTAACGTAAAAAAGAAAGTGATATAAACACAAACTCTGCTCCTGATAATGTAAAACATGGGCAAAATGTACATCATGCTTTCATCAACAATCTTCAAAAGCCTGTAGTTCAATTCTCCACAAGTAGTGCACCTATGAGGTCACTCTCTAGTGTGAACCAACGTATGTTGTTTCATTTTTCTATTGGATTTGAAGGATTTTCCACAAATAGGACACAAATGAGGTCACTCTCCGGTGTGGACCAATGTATGTTTTTTCATATTGCTATTGTAGTTGAACGATTTTCCACATATGAGACATAAATGAGGTCGCTCTTCAGTATGAACCTTTGTATGCTCCTTCAAAGACATGAGTCGTTGGAAGGATTTTCCACATGTATTGCACTTATAAGGTCGCTCTCCAGTGTGGACCAATGTATGCATTTTCAATGTTCTATTGCATTTGAAGGATTTTCCACATGTAATGCTCTCGTGAAGTCGCTCTCTGGTGTGGACCAATGTATGTATTTTCATTGTTCTATTGCATTTGAAGGATTTTCCACAAATAGGACACAAATGAGGTCGCTCTCTGGTGTGGACCAATGTATGTTGATTCATTGTTTTATTGCATTTGAAGGATTTTCCACAAATAGGACACAAATGAGGTCGCTCTCCGGTGTGGACCAATGTATGTTGTTTCATTGTTCCATTGCATTTGAAGGATTTTCCACATGTAGAGCACTTATGAGGTCGCTCTGCGGTGTGGACCAATGTATGTATTTTCTTTTCTCCAATAGATTTAAAGGATTTTCCACATGTAGTACACGTATGAGGTCGCTCTTCAGTATGAACCTTTGTATGCTCCTTCAAAGACATGAGTCGTTTGAAGGATTTTCCACATGTAGTGCACTTATGAGGTCGCTCTGCGGTGTGGACAAATGTATGTTTTTTCATATTGCTATTGTATTTGAACGATTTTCCACATATAGGACATAAATGAGGTCGCTCTTCAGTATGAATCTTTGTATGCTCCTTCAAAGTCATGAGTCGTTTGAAGGATTTTCCACATGTAGTGCATTTATGAGGTCGCTCTCCGTTGTGGACCAATGTATGTATCTTCTTTGCTCCATTGGATTTAAAAGATTTTCCACATATAGTACACGTATGAGGTCGCTCTGCGGTGTGGACAAATGTATGATTTTTCATATTACGTTTGTATTTGAACGATTTTCCACATATAGGACATAAATGAGGTCGCTCTTCAGTATGAATCTTTGTATGCTCCTTCAAAGACATGAGTCGTTTGAAGGATTTTCCACATGTAGTGCACTTATGAGGTCGCTCTGCGGTGTGGGCCAATGTATGTTGTTTCATTGTGCTGTTGGATTTGAACAATTTTCCACATATAGGACACAAATAAGGTCGTTCTTCAGTATGAACCGTTGTATGCTCATTTATATAGCTGAGATGTTTGAAGGATTTTCCACATTTAGTACCCTTATGAGGATACTTTTTACAATGTGTCAACAAATGACACCTTACTTGATATATTTCAATAAATGTTTCCTCACATGACAAACATTTAAAAGGACGTTCGCCTGTATGCACATATATATGATTCTTCATTTCCCATTTTGTTGAAAACATTTTTTTACATATTGGACACTTAAGAGGAAATTTTTTGGTGATCTTAAACATTTTTTTTTTTATTTTCTTACAACTCAATAGACAAGCTAGTAACTAATTTGAATTAGTCAGTTGGCTCTTATGTCTATTTAAATAATTCCCCAATTTGAAGGAGTTTTTGAATCTTCTACAGTTGTATATTATGTACATATCATTCAACTTTAAAACGTTTTTGTTATAAGGAGGCCTGCTATACAACATTGCTACTTGGAGTGTTTTTCTCTGTTTGCTTGTCTTTTATGTTCCATCATATTAAATTAGCTTACTTATAAATAAGTGTTTTATATATGTTTTTCAAATAGAATCATATCCTTCACATAAAGTTTTGATTAGATACAACAGATTATTAGATTTTAAGTTCAAGTTTTACATAGTAAATTACTTACTTTTATTATCAAATTAATCAGCCTTGACACCTTTAATATAAATGTAATTTGTGCTCATACGCACAAATTACTTTTATTTGTGCTTTACAGTGTAATATGAACTTTATAAACTTTTTAGCTGTTGTTTAAATTATTATATGAGAGATTATCTCAATTATCTTTCTTGCCACAAATCAGAGTTCTTTTTCTCTCTTCAAATCCATTTTGTTTTCTGAAAAAGAAACATACTTTATAAAACCTGTACATTTATTGTTCACATTTAGTCCCCTTTGCTTGTTCAATTAGGTTTATCAATGGTAAACACATTAAAATATGTATTACAATCATGGTGGAAGGAAAATACATAGGTGTGCTATTCCCGTCATATGCTGACGTCACCCAGATTGCTAACAAAAAATCACCTGATGGTATTGCCATATAAGTATATATTTGTTTTGATTTGATTGTATTATAAATGTGAAAGTTTGTGAGTTTGTTTGTTTGTTTGTTTGAAGTTCAATGACGCATTAACTACTGGACGGATTGGGCTGAAATTTGACATGACGATAGCTCACATTCCCGATTAACATATAGGCATATTCTTATCTCAAAAATCCTTTCGGGCTCCGCCCCAGTGGCTCTGTAGTTCCCCATGTTAACCTTATTCATATTTAAAGGGAATTAAAGAATTTAGTCAGCTGTTTCAACTAAAAACGTTGGTTCTATGATATGCAAAAGCATTAAAAGTTGATTTACCAACAGGGTGCAGCACTTTATTTTTTTGCATTTATGAAAACAGCCAATTTGAACTAAGCAGCAAAAAAAAAAACTGTAATACTCAATGAGAACCACTGTCAAAGTAGATTGATTACAGTTATGTTTATGTTTTTATTTTAATGAATAATTTGTGATCTTTTGCGAATTTTTTATAATTATTTATTTTTCTCTGTTGTTAGGTGAAGTCGTAGAACATTATGGCTATGGTAGATGTGTAATACAATATAATACTGTACATTTAAAGAAGCAAATTTTATCAAACTTTATCCCTCATTCATCCCTCAATGCCAACGCAAAGCTTGAGTATAACTGCAATAAGCATTTTATACTTATATTCCAACCCTGTACGAAGGACGGGTACTCTGCTAGTTGTTTTTATAATTTTTCTAAATGGTAAAATGGTGTTTGCAATCTGAGTGACATCAGCATTTGACGGGAATCGCACACTATGTATTTTTCTTCCACCATGTATTACAATATTACAAAACACTCAAAATAAAAAAGTTTGATGTACTTTACACGCTTTACTCAGCTGACTTTCCCCAGCTGTGTAAAAGTTGTACTGTACTTGCAACCGTAAAATTTTACTGTACTGTATACTTGCACTTGTATGCAGATGATTGCCAATTGCACTTGTCATACGAGCCTGGTTTGATGAAGAAGGCCAGAAAATTATTAAGATTAACACTGATCTGGAGAAAATCTCCATTTCTTGTAATTTATTTTACAGCCTTTACAAAAGTGTTTAAAAAGAAATTGCAAATTATGATGTTTTTGAGAGTCATGCATATGCATTTGAGAAGTTACCGTAGTGTTTTTGGTCATTGATAAGCCTAATTGTACAAGCAAATGGGACTAAGTGTGAACAATTAATGTACACGTTTTATAAAGTATGTTTTTTTTCAGAAAACAAAAATGATTTGAAGAGAAAATACCCCGCTGCAGCAAACCTGCCAACTTAGCGAATTTTCATTTGCCTGGATTGATTTTTAATTAATCTATTAAATTAAACATTTATGTTTAACGAGTAGGCTACCTAGGTTAGGTGCTACACGGAAACTTATAAAGTGTGTTTTTTATTAAAATATCAATAGCTTAGTATTAAACAAATAAATCCGCCAAGTTTGATCAATATATATTTATAAACAAGCCAACTACAACACATTATAATATTCTCCATAAGAATAACATGGGTTTTTAAAATTAAAATTTGTTTTAATTTTCTCTGTAACCAATCATTGTCCAAAACACTATGATATACTAAATTATTTGTTTTTTTAAGCTCTTTACAAAGGTTTGGAGAAAAAATGATAAATTTTGTGTTTTAAGGGTAAAAATGAGAAAACCCCATTTTTACTCCATAAAACCGTTGAACCCTGTTCCCATGGTCCGATTATGCTGGTTCACGAACTCATTTTAAGTTGGAATAAGTATGGAATACTCATTTAAGTTTATCCTGCATTGAACCTTCAAACCAAATTTTATCAAAATCGGACAAAAATTACTCAAGTTATCGTGCGGATTGACACATATATCTTACTAATATTATAAATGTGAAAGTTTGTGTGTGTGTTTGTTTGTTTGAAGGTGAATCGCGCATTAACTACTGAACGGATTGGGCTGAAATTCGGCATGACGATAGCTCACATTCCCGATTAACATATAGGCATATTCTTATCTAAAAAATCCTTTTGGGCTCCACCCCAGTGGCTCTGTAGTTCCCCATGTTAACCTTATGAGTATTAATATTTAATAGGAACTAGTATACATGTTGCTCGAATTCGAGCAATTGCAAAGTATTCAAGAATTATTTCAAAACAAATATTGGTCATAAATTCTGATGAGTCAACTCAAAGATCAAGTGTATTTTACTAATGGAAATACTGACAATGTACAATACAATCAACATTTCTTGTTAATATTTTGTAATTTTTTAGTGTTTTGTACATTTAAATGTTTCCCGACTTACCCATAGCCGCATAATGTTGTCTTTTGTTTTCGTTTTTATAATGTACATGTAACCTTTTTATAAGTATCACAATTGTTGCCAGTATGTTAACACAATTCAGCATTTTATTTTTTTAAATTGCGTTAAAATTTTTACATTACTTGAGATGTTAAGGACTTCCTGCATAACCTGTCTGTGAGTGTAGGAGTTTTGCCAACGGGTATCAGGTAGAAAGGGTCCCCATCCATGAATTCCACATACTGCGGAGTTTTGCCAACGGTTGTGGGTTGCGCGAGAGGGGGAGGGGAGAGAGATTACACGTGACCGTGAGGGTGGCTTCCGCTAGGGGTGGACAAACCAGGCAGGATGCTGACTGTGTTCAAAGTATGTAATGCAGTTATGCACCTCTGACTGTGAAAGGAAATGTATTGAATTTTTAACCTAACCTAACCTAACCTAACCTAACCTAACCTAACCTAACCTAACCCAACCTAACCCACTGCGACAAGCGCATAACTGCCAAGCGTAGACAACCCTGACAATCGCTCTCCTTCCGGACGTCACACTCTTTCTCCCACACCACCGTTGGCAAATCTCCGCACCAAGAGGTGGCCGAAGGCATCCCCCCATCTAACTGACACCCGTTGGCAAAACTCCGGTTCCCCCTGTCTGTCACTATGTTATTGGCTGCAATTGGCATTCTTTTGGTTAGTTGCTGAAATAACGTAATTATATTTACCCTAGTATATGCAGAAGTAAAAGGCCTGATGTTCTTCAGATGTTTTTTTGTTTCCATTAACTAACTGTGAATAATAATTGAATTCTTCAATTAAGTTTCAGTAAAGGTTTCTTGGATGTAGTTATATTTTTTCTAAAATCACTTGACTTTTATGGAAACACAGATTAAATGTCCTTAACGAACCAGTTGTATTTAGTCTTAGTTAGGGCTCTCCTCTGCAATTATAGCAAAGTTAAGTCCATGTTTCCTACTAAGGTTGGTAGCACTTACGTAATAGAGTGAAACATAAATCTTTTCAACTAATCTAATAAATCCTTACAGCACATGTCTCCAATTTTTTTAACCAGCTGTCTCAAATATTAGTGTCAATTTCAAAGTATTCATCTGTCCTAATGTAAACAAACATTTTCTCCATAAGAATAACATGGGAACTTTGAAGGCCACTGGGGCAGAGCCCTGATGGAATTCCAAAGTTTTTTTTGTTTGATGGCAAAACTACATGCTAAAACCTTTCAAACGACACCTTAAACATGGTGATCGGTAGCACCACAGCTCCTAAACAATTATGACAAAAATATGCCTAGCGTATTAAATATATAGATTAAAGAATTTAGTCAGCTGTTTCAACTAAAAAAGTTGGTTCTATGATATGAAATCATTAAAAAAGTTATAAGATTTACCAACAGAGTGCAGCACTTTTTTTGCATTTATGAAAACAGCTAATTTGAACTAAGCAGCAACAAAAACTGTGATTTGCAATGAGAACTGTCAAAGTAGGATTGTTTACAGTTATGTTTATGTTTTTTATGTTATGAATAATTTGTGATATTTTGCAAATTTTTGATAATTTATTTTTCTCTATTGTTTAGGTGAATTGGTAGAACATTATGGCTATGGTAGATGTGTAATACCTACTATAGTAAACTGTAAATTTAAAGAAGCAAATTTTATCAAACTGTGTCTTCCCTCATTGCAAACTCAAAGCTTGAGTATAACTGCAATACACATTTTATACTTTTATTCTAATCCCGTACGAAGGACGGGTATTCTGCTAGTATATATATATATATATATATATATATTAATAAATAATATATAAAATAACATGAGTACCCTTTTTTCATAATATTTTTTATTCAATATACATATATTAAATATGTATTTATATACATATATAGAAATTTGAACGAATGGTGTTTTTGGCCTCTGGGGACATCAAAATGAAAAAGTAAATCGGTCCCTGGCTTAGGTCTTACCATGAGACCTATGGTAATAGCTACTTCCCTATAGGGAAATTCGCTAAAAAGAACTCTTGATTGTTGTGCACTTATAAGGTTGCTTTCCGGTTGTGGATTAATGTATGTCGTTTCAATTTGCTGTTGTATTTAAAGGATTTTCCACATATAGGACACGAATGAGGTTGCTCTCCGTTGTGAACCAATTTATGTTTTTGCAAATGGGTGTTTGATTTGAAATATTTTCCACATATGGGACACAAATGAGATCGCTCTGCGATGTGGACCAGTTTATGTCGTTTCATTGTTCTATTGGATTTGAAGGATTTTCCACATGTAGTGCACTTATGAGGTCGCTCTACAGTGTGGACCAATGTATGTTGTTTCATTGTTCTATTGGATTTGAAGGATTTTCCACATGTAGTGCTTTATGAGGTCGCTCTATAGTGTGGATCAATGTATGATGATTCATTTCGCTATTGGATTTGAAGGATTTTCCACATGTAGTGCACTATGAGGTCGCTCTATAGTGTGGATCAATGTATGACGATTCATTTCACTATTGGATTTGAAGGATTTTCCACATGTAGTGCACTTATGAGGTCGCTCTCCAGTGTGGACCAATGTATGATTCTTCATATGGCTCAGTTTTTTGAACGATTTTTTACATATAGGACACAAATGAGGTCGCTCTCCAGTGTGGACCAATGTATGTTGTTTCATTGTTCCATTGTCTTTGAAGGATTTCCCACATATATGACACAAATGAGGTCGCTCTATAGTGTGGATCAATGTATGACGATTCATTTCACTATTGGATTTGAAGGATTTTCCACATGTAGTGCACTTATGAGGTCGCTCTCCGGTGTGGACCAATGTATGTCGTTTCATTTTGCTGTTGGATTTGAAGGATTTTCCACATATAGTACACACATGAGGTCGCTCTTTAGTATGAAGAGCCTGTGTATGCTCCTTCAAATACATGAGTTGTTTGAAGGATTTCCCACATATACGACATAAATGAGGTCGCTCTGCGGCATGGACCGATGTATGTAGTTTCATCGAACTGTTGGATTTAAAGGATTTTCCGCATATAGGACAGAAATGAGGTCGCTCTCCGGTGTGGACTAGTGTATGATGATTCATTTCGCTACTGGATTTGAAGGATTTCCCACATATATGACACAAATGAGGTCGCTCTCCGGTGTGGACCAATGTATGTTTTTTCATTCCATGACTGGATTTGAATGATTTTCCACATGTAGAGCACTTATGAGGTCGCTCTCCAGTGTGGACCAATGTATGATTCTTCATATGGCTCAGTTTTTTGAATGATTTTTTACATATCGGACACAAATGAGGTCGCTCTCCGGTGTGGACCAATGTATGAAGATTCATTTCGCTATTGGATTTGAAGGATTTTCCACATGTAGTGCACTTATGAGGTCGAACTTCGGAGTGGATCAATGTATGACGATTCATTTTGCTATTGGATTTGAAGGATTTCCCACACGTAGTGCACTTATGAGGTCGCTCTACGGTGTGGACCGAAAATGAATGTTGTTTCATTTTGCTGTTTGATTTGAAGGATTTTCCACATGTAGTGCACTTATGAGGTCGATCTACGGAGTGGACAAATGAATGTTGTTTCATTCTGCTGTTGGATTTGAAGGATTTTCCACATGTAGTGCACTTATGAGGTCGCTCTCCGGTGTGGACCAATGTATGTATTTTCATTGTTCCATTGTCTTTAAAGGATTTTCCACATGTAGTGCACTTATGAGGACGCTCATTGGTGTGGACCAATGTATGTTGTTTCATTGTTGTACTGCATTTAAAGGATTTTCCACATGTAGTGCACTTATGAAGTCGCTCATTGGTGTGGACCAATGTATGTCGTTTCATTGTTGTACTGCATTTAAAGGATTTTCCACAGGTAGTGCACTTATAAGGTCGCTCTACTGTGTGGACCAATGTATGTTGTTTCAAATTGCTATTGTATTTGAACGATTTTCCACATATAGGACACAAATGAGGTCTTTCTTCAATATGAACCGTTGTATGCTCATTTATATGGCTGAGTTGTTTGAAGGATTGTCCACATTTAGTACCTTTATAAGGATACTCTTTAGAATGTGTCAACAAATGACACCTTACTTGATATATTTCAATAAATGTTTCCTCACATGACGAACATTTAAAAGGACGTTCGCCTGTATGCACATATATATGATTCTTCATTTTCCATTTTGTTGAAAACATTTTTTTACATATTGGACACTTAAGAGGAAATTTTTTGGTGATGTTGAACATTTTTTTTTTTATTTTCTTACAACTCAATAGACAAGCTAGTAACTAATTTAAATTAGTCAGTTGGCTCTTATGTCTATCTAATAATTCCCCAGTTTGAAGGAGTTGTTGAATGTTCAACAGTTGTATATTATGTACATATCATTCAACTTTAAAACGTTTTTGTTATAAGGAGGCCTGCTATACAACATTGCTACTTGGAGTGTTTTTCTCTGTTTGCTTGTCTTTTATGTTCCATCATATTAAATTAGCTTACTTATAAATAAGTGTTTTATATATGTTTTTCAAATAGAATCATATCCTTCACATAAAGTTTTGATTAGATACAACAGATTTTTAGATTTAAGTTCAAGTTTTACATAGTAAATTACTTACTTTTATTTGTGCTTTACAGTGTAATATGAACTTTATAAACTTTTTAGCTGTTGTTTAAATTATTATATGAGAGATTATCTAAATTATCTTTCTTGCCACAAATCAGAGTTCTTTTTCTCTCTTCAAATCCATTTTGTTTTCTGAAAAAAAAAACATACTTTATAAAACATGTACATTTATTGTTCACATTTAGTTCCATTTGCTTGTTTGATTAGGTTTAACAATGGTAAAAACATTAAAATATGTATTACAATCATGGTGGAAGGAAAATACATGGGTGTGCTATTCCCGTCATATGCTGACGTCACCCAGATTGCTAACAAAAAATCACCTGATGGTATTGCCATATAAGTATATATTTGTTTTGATTTGATTGTTATTGTTTTTATAATTTTTCTAAATGGTAAAATGGTGTTTGCAATCTGAGTGACATCAGCATTTGACGGGAATCGCACACTATGTATTTTTCTTCCACCATGTATTACAATATTACAAAACACTCAAAATAAAAAAGTTTGATGTACTTTACACGCTTTACTCAGCTGACTTTCCCCAGCTGTGTAAAAGTTGTACTGTACTTGCAACCGTAAAATTTTACTGTACTGTATACTTGCACTTGTATGCAGATGATTACCAATTGCACTTGTCATACGAGCCTGGTTTGATAAAGAAGGCCAGAAAATTATTAAGATTAACACTGATCTGGAGAAAATCTCCATTTCTTGTAATTTATTTTACAACCTTTACAAAAGTGTTTAAAAAGAAATTGCAAATTATGATGTTTTTGAGAGTCATGCATATACATTTGAGAAGTTACCGTAGTGTTTTTGGTCATTGATATGCCTAATTGTACAAGCAAATGGGACTAAGTGTGAACAATTAATGTACCTACACGTTTTATAAAGTATGTTTTTTTTTCAGAAAACAAAAATGATTTGAAGAGAAAATACCCCGCTGCAGCAAACCTGCCAACTTAGCGAATTTCCATTTGCCTGGATTGATTTTTAATTAATCTATTAAATTAAACATTTAATGTTTAACGAGTACCTAGGTTAGGTGCTACACGGAAACTTATAAAGTGTGTTTTTATCAAAATATCAATAGCTTAGTATTAAATAAATAAATCCGCCAAGTTTGATCAATATATATTCATAAACAAGCCAACTACAACACATTATAATATTCTCCATAAGAATAACATGGGATTTTTAATTCTCTGTAACCAATCATTGTACAAAAACACTTTGATATACTAAATTATTTGTTTTTTTAAGCTCTTTAAAAAGGTTTGGAGAAAAATTGATAAATTTTGTGTTTTAAGGGTAAAAAAATGAGAAAACCCCATCTTTACTCCATAAAACCTTTGAACCCTGTTCCCATGGTCCGATTATGCTGGTTCACGAACTCATTTAAGTTTATCCTAATAGCTAATTTGAACTAAGCAGCAACAAAAAACTGTGATTTGCAATGAGAACTGTCAAAGTAGGATTGTTTACAGTTATGTTTATGTTTTTTATGTTATGAATAATTTGTGATATTTTGCAAATTTTTGATAATTTATTTTTCTCTATTGTTTAGGTGAATTGGTAGAACATTATGGCTATGGTAGATGTGTAATACCTACTATAGTAAACTGTAAATTTAAAGAAGCAAATTTTATCAAACTGTGTCCTCCCTCATTGCAAACTCAAAGCTTGAGTATAACTGCAATACACATTTTATACTTTTATGCTAATCCCGTACGAAGGACGGGTATTCTGCTAGTATATATATATATATATTAATAAATAATATATAAAATAACATGAGTACCCTTTTTTCATAATATTTTTTATTCAATATACATATATTAAATATGTATAACAGTTTTTATATACATATATAGAAATTTGAACAAATGGTGTTTTTGGCCTCTGGGGACATCAAAATGAAAAAGTAAATCGGTCCCTGGCTTAGGTCTTATCATGAGACCTATGGTAATAGCTACTTCCCTATAGGGAAATTCGCTAAAAAGAACTCTTGATTGTTGTGCACTTATAAGGTTGCTTTCCGGTTGTGGATTAATGTATGTCGTTTCAATTTGCTGTTGTATTTAAAGGATTTTCCACATATAGGACACGAATGAGGTTGCTCTCCGTTGTGGACCAATGTATGTTTTTTCATTGCATGACTGGATTTGAATGATTTTCCACATGTAGTGCACTTATGAGGTTGCTCTCCAGTGTGGACCAATGTATGTTTCTTCATATGGCTCAGTTTTTTGAACGATTTTTTACATATAGGACACAAATGAGGTCGCTCTCCGGTGTGGACCAATGTATGTTGTTTCATTGTTCCATTGTCTTTGAAGGATTTCCCACATATATGACACAAATGAGGTCGCTCTCCGGTGTGGATGAATGTATGACGATTCATTTTGTTATTGGATTTGAAGGATTTCCCACATGTAGTGCACTTATGAGGTCGCTCTACGGTGTGGACCAATGAATGTCGTTTCATTGTTCCATTGTCTTTGAAGGATTTTCCACATGTAGTGCACTTATGAGGTCGCTCTGCGGAGTGGAGCAATGTATGTTGTTTCATTGTTCTATTGGATTTGAAGGATTTTCCACATATAGGACACAAATGAGGTCTTTCTTCAGTATGAACAATAATTGTATGCTCATTCATCTGGCTGAGTCGTTTGAAGGATTTTCCACATATAGTGCACTTATGAGGTCGCTTTGCGGAGTGGACCAATATATGTTGTTTCATTGTTCTATTGGATTTGAAGGATTTTCCACATATAGGACACAAATGAGGTCTTTCTTCAGTATGAACAATAATTGTATGCTCATTCATCTGTCTGAGTTGTTTGAAGGATTTTCCACATATAGGACACAAATGAGGTCTTTCTTCAGTATGAACAATATTTGTATGCTCATTCATCTGGCTGAGTCGTTTGAAGGATTTTCCACATGTTATACACCTATAAGGATACTTTTTATAATGTGTCAACAAATGACACCTTACTTGATATATTTTAGTAAATGTTTTCTCACATGATGAACATTTAAAAGGACGTTCGCCTGTATGTACATATAAATGATTTTTCATATCCCATTTTGTTGAAAACATCTTTTTACATATTGGACACTTATGAGAAAATATTTTGGAGATTATAAACATTTTTTATTTTCTTTCAACTTATCAGACAAGCTAGTAGCTAACTTGAATTAGTCAGTTGGCTCTTAAATCTATTTAAATAACTGTCTTGTTGGAAAATTTGTTGAATGTTAAAACAGTTATGCATTATATCTTTCAACTTTAAAATTTCTGTAATCAAGTTTTGCTATGTGTATTAAATACCAAACAACATAGCCAACCTGAAGTGTTTTTCTTCGTTTACTTGTCTTTTATATTCCATCATATTTAATACGGATAAGCCTACTTAATCATTTAACAAAATAATATGTTTTTTTTTATATTGTTTATCAAATAATAACACATCCTAAACATAACAGTTGTACAGATTTAAGTCAATTCTTACATAGTGAATTACTTACTTTCATTTGTGCATTGTGTAATAGAAACATAAAGTCTTTTAGCTTTGGTTTCAATTATTACAAGAGATTATCAAAATTATCTTTTTTGCGACAAATCAGAGTTCTTTTTCTCTCTTCAAATCCATTTTGTTGTCTGAAAAAAAAAACATACTTTATAAAACATGTACATTTATTGTTCACATTTAGGCCTATTTGCTTGTTCAATTAGGTTTAACAATAGTTAAAACATAATATAGATTACAATTATTACAATGCACACATACGACACCCAAAATAAAAAAGTTTGATGTACTTTGCACACTTAACTCAGCTGACTTTCTCCAATTGTGTAAAAGTTGTACTGTACTTGCAACCGTTATATTTTACTAGGTGAAACCCGTCGAAATCGACGGTTACTTTCAAGGCTCAGGCTCAAGCTAATTCATCTAACTGCAATCAATTGAGTGAAATTATACATATTTTGACCATTTAGCATTGTTCAGAGAGTAATAAGTGTAAAAACAATTATGATATTAATTGCGTTAGTTACCAAATATGGTTGATCATTCAATGAATAAAATATTTCCCATGCCGTACATCATCGGAGTTATTATTAGTTTGTTAACTGGTATCTCTTCTTCTGGAAGAACCTTTAAAAAGTATTGAAATCGTATTGGTGGATCTTTTGTAGTTAAACACTTTACCTGCTCTGGTTTGAAAAAAAGCTAAATTTCTATAATTCTTTGGTAGTGATTTCTATATGATCCGCTATTTTACCAGTTTAAAGCAGATTAATCTATGATTTTATTTGAGAAAAAATGTCTGTTTGTTGAGAAGACACGTTCTAACTTCAAAGGGATGTATATCCGTTACAGTGTAAGTTTGATTTTTCCTTCATCTTGTCGCGTCAGTTCATATCGTACTTCTGTGCCATGAATAACCAACCCTCTAGCATAGTTTTGAGAAAATGGTTGTGGGGTTACTGTTAGTGCTGGAATTCCTTGACATGGGGGATGTCAGTTAGTTGTCTCAGCCTTATACATACATAAAGTTGTCAATATAATCTCTCTACGGAATGTTAGGGGCCTACTCGTTTTTATGGTCATGTGGCTTCTTTTGCAACAAATAATGCAAATGAAATAGCAATGTGGCATTTCCTAAAAGCAAAATAAATACTGTAAATTGGCTGTTACGTAAATATTGACGTTTACATGCATTGCTAATCAACGTATGTTATAAAGGCTGGTGTGATATAACATCTGCAAGTTTTGTAGTTAATTCTACAACCTTAACAAAAGTGTTTAAAAAGCAATTACAAATTATTATGTTTTTGAGAGCCATGCATATGAATTTGAGAAGATAATGTTTTTGGCCTCTGGGGACACCAACACAAGTTAATATGTACCAAGTCTACGTCTCACCATGATATGTTCACAGTTTGTTCTTTATATTGGATATTTACTAAGTATACCCGCAACTCTTTACACAATCCAATATAGAATATAATGATAATTTATTTGAGTGGAATCATACTCAATCCCATTTAAGCAATGTTCATAGATAAGACAAATTCCTTTTGACTTTAGGATAAAAACTAAGAATAGATGAGTTGGTTTTGAAAATAGTATCCGAGCACAATACAGTAGACTCCCTCTTATCCGGACTCCTGGGGACCGAGGCCAGTCCGGATAACGGGGTTCCTGGTTACAAGGTCCCCAAAAACTCATTAAAACGGACCATTTAAATGCATACTGTATAAGCAATAATGATTATTATGTATTTACTATTTAGACACATGATCACTGGTCTCAAATCTTTCACACAAAAACAATTGTTTCAGTACCTGCTTCCTACTGATCTAGTCTGGTTATACCGATGTGCTGATAAAAATTTTCCGGTTAAAGAGATGTCATTTCTGCTGAGTGTAGTCCGGTTAAAAGGTGTCCGGATAAGGTATACTGTAATTGCCCTGCACACCCATCACTAAATAAATATGCAATATGGACAGCCAATAACTGATTTGATCAGAACCATACACACCTTTAAAATTCAGAATCAGACCCAGAACAACCACAATACACAGACTAAGAGCACATATATGAGAATCTGTATTAGCATACTTATCGTCCCTTCTAAGAGTAAAGTATAACAATGGAAATAGATTATTTCAATTTAAGAAAATAAGCTTTCCAACCAACAGATGTACCAAAAAGGTTGATAACCTCTCGAACATACTCTTATTGAGTGTTCAGCTTACAAAAAACCACAGGAGGTATTCTAAAACAGAGTAAGGGTAGAAAATTGGAGAATACCCCCATTAATAACAGAACTCCTACAGTAGTAAATTTCTTCACCAAGGTATGAAGTGACTGTATTCAACCTGAGCTCAGGTTTTATAATCCCTATTCAACTTGAGCTCAGGTTTTATAATCCCTATTCAACCTGAGCTCAGGTTTTATAATCCCTATTCAACTTGAGCTCAGGTTTTATAATCCCTATTCAACTTGAGCTCAAGTTTTATAATCCCTATTCAACCTGAGCTCAGGTTTTATAATCCCTATTCAACCTGAGCTCAGGTTTTATAATCGAGGCAAAGCCGAGGTGGGAAAATAGGGTTGAAAAGACTATTTGCCTGAGTGTAACTATATTTTTGTCATATTGCATTATTTAAACAAACTAAGTTACAAAACGAAAATAGTTTTCATATAAAGTTAGCCTCTCAAAGTAATCTAACGTGTTTTCAATTTAATTTGCTAATGCCATCACGCAGCTGCTTAGTAATTGATTCAATCTTTTTGTTAATTACGATTGTGTTAGTGTACAGTATACTATCAGAATGTCAAACTATTTACTAGAAGGCAACAATATACTACTATCGATTTAACAGTCGGTACATTTTTCAATGCATGCGATTGCTTACAATCAAAATTTACAACTGAGTTGAACACAGCTGATTTTTACTCCCTAGGGGTTAAGACAGTTTTTATTTCCAAGGGATGAAAAGAGCTGCTTTAGACCAGCAATGTATGTGTTAAAAATGGCTGTTTTTGCTGCAGTGCGTTGAAAAAACTTGTATTCCTTCAATAGACAGAAAAATGTGATTAGTCTGCGTCCAACAAGTTTAGGGATCCTTGTTTACTTCATCCACAACCCTCTCTGTTCTTGGCGCAGATATTACCATCCCTATTCCAATTTTTTTATGGTAAAAAGTTAAATTACAAAAACAGGTTGGAATTAATGAATTACAATTTATTACACACTGAAGTATCTTATTATTTCGGATTTCTGTAAACCTAAATGTACAATGTAAAACCTTGGACTATTGGTAGAACTAACAGAAGTTACTGGGAAGGGAGTATATTTTATCTATGGTTACTGTTCAAACTAAAACATGTGGTGGAACTAACTTTAAGTAACATACAGTCAATAATATCAAAGACAAAACGAATTTAATATAGACCGTCAGCTGTGCTGCGGTTACCATAGGTTCTGGCCCACACCGCTGGGAGCACCATTTAGTTACAGCATACGTGCTACGTATAATACACGGTGCGGCGCTCCCAGTGGTGTGCCCCAGAGCCTATGGTAACCATGGTAACCGCAGCTCGGCTGACAGTCTATATTCATTTCTTTTTGTCTATGATAATATCCACAATCCAAAACAAAATAGAAATGTTAGGTTTTTTTAACAAGAAGGTACGAGTACTGACTTTAGGTAGTTACTGCAAGTGGATTTTATATCCCATTTAAGTGAGTTAAGTGAGTCGGTGGCTCAGTCGGTAGCGTCGCGGACTTCGGGCCCAAGGCAGCGATGTCGTGGGTTCGGATCCTGGTCACTGCCGATAACATTTTATCAGTACGGTTCACCTTTGTACTGTACCGGCTCACTCCTTGCTTTGCTGTTAAAGATCCACGCACGGGCGCTTAGTCTATGTGGACGGGCAAATGCAAGGTAAAAAGAAGCCGCCAACCTCTTTAAAAAAAAAAAAAAAAAAAAATTTTATAATATGAAGCCTGCTTCAACTCTGCTCTTTTCACACATAACGTTAACAAGCAGTTAAACTCAAAGCAATATGGATAATGTTATAACACAAAGGAAACAGCTACAAACCGAGAAAGTATCACAGATTCAGTGTACAGATTTTAACAAATGGAGTTTTAACAGACAAGTGTACGGAGAAGGCAGAGAGACAACAAAACAAGCTGTGCATGCATCTGCGAGAGCTAGGTCGCAGCCACCTATTGTGAAGGGCTAGGTATATTACAATGGCTCGCTACGAGTTGAGTCACTGAAAATGCCCGCTGGCAGCCACCAACCAGCAACGCAGTTCTTTAGCGACCGGATCGCTGCCACCGAGGCGGGTTGCTGTGACCCGCTAGATTGAAGGGTTCCAATAAAACTCAATGCAGTTTTACAGATATAGTGGCTGAAGGGTGGCTGCTCCTAAAAAGAAGGCGGACTACCAAAATTAGTATTTCTCTTATAAACCAATGGCTCACTGATGATACTGCACAAAAATATTTTGAGCTGCTATCCTGCTAGTGTCATGTAATTAATAAATAAAACATATTACTCATGAACCATGTAATTGCATTAGCAATAAATATTTGCAAGACTGACATCATCTTAGAATGCTTAAATCTTCAGCCAACTACCGGTACCCACATTCTAAGTTCTTTAGTCTAAATTCTTTCCTTGCCTTTTTTAGTGTTGTACAATGTTTTTTGTATTATGATTGATTCTTGCAGTACTCCTGAACAATTTATTGCGACCAATTGCAATTGTCATGAATTTTCTCCCTTCAGGGTTACACAATTACAGACAACATTTTAGTAACCCTTTTTCCAAACTAAATAAGTAAATTAATATGAATCATAATATTGTCCTTCAAGATCCGTAATGTTTTTGTAGAACAGCGCTTTAAAGTCAGACAAATTGTATAGTCACTAATACAAACATTTTTTTAACAAATCTTTTCATAGCGAAACTAAAATGATGAGATATAATTATGTTTGATGTAAGTAAAGTGAACCAATGAAACTTGTATTACAGCAGAGCCTTAGAATTATACATTTTAGACCAAGTTCAATTTTAGTTCTAGTACGTACTGATAAATGTGGGAAACTAACAGTACACTGACTTAAGGACTCAGT